TTGCTGTTTTTCAATTGAAAAAAGGCGCTAAAATAAATAATGCTAAATATTACGCGACCGCTGACGTAAAAAAAGAAACATGATATTCAGTCAATATTTCGAATGAGCTAGAAAAGATTAAAAATTTTTTAGAAATAACTAAAAAATATTTTGGTCTTTCCTCTTAATAATAACATAAACATTTTCTCGATGAAACATTGTTTTTATGAAGTTTTAGGCCTTTTTTCATCATGCTATTCTGTTTTTCGGCGAATTCTTGACCATACATATACATATATATATATATAGAGATAGATAGATAGATAGATAGATAGATAGATAGATCGATCAGAAGTTCAATTCTAATTTACTGACTCCTTTCCGGAAGGGCTTTCTCTTCCGGAAATTTTTTCTATTGTATATTCAATAATAATTATAATAACGAAATGAATCCATTGCAATGTGCAGTTTCCTTTAAAATGTTATCTCTTTTAGCCTAATCTATCTTGCTGACTGGTGTTAATCTTAAGGGTGGCGGAGTTTACATTTTAGTTAAGACGGTCTCTGAAAAAAAATCGGACGCCATCCACAAATACGTAAAAAAAAAAGTTACATTTATTTAACTAAATCGAACTAATTTCAGAAATTAGTAATTATTGAATCAAAGGTTTTCCAAAACATTTGCTCTATAATATATATATATATATATATATATATATATATATATATATATATATATATATATATATATATATATATTTTTCATATATTTTAAATAAATTGTTTTTTTTACTAAAAACGTTATGAAAGTAAAATTTAAGAAAAAACCGGCTTCACTGTTAAAGAAAACAGGAAAATATATATATATATATATATATATATATATATATATATATATATATATATATATATATATATATATATTATATATATATATATATATATGTGTGTGTGTGTGTGTGTGTGTGTGTGTACGTGGATAAAAACATAGCCTGGCATTATGTGTGTATTGGGGGTTAGCCTGGCGGTTCAATTATAAAATTCTAATCTGTTAGACTCATCGAAATCATTAGGCATTCCACTGATATATATATATATATATATATATATATATATATATATATATATATACAGATAGATAGATAGATAGATAGATAGATAGATAGATAGATAGATAGATAGGTAAAATTATCGAAATAAAGAGATATGATCAACTATATATATAAGCGATTATGTACACATACACGTTGGCAAAAACTATTTATCTAATCAATGGCATGAACAAAACTGCACAATGTATTATGTTATATATATATATAAATACAAATATAAATATATATATATACATATATATATATATATATATATATATATATATATATATATATATATATATAAAAAAAAATCCATGCATTTGCCTTTGATAAAGTCCGACTGAGGACGAAACGCGTTGGCTAACATAAGTTTCCCTTTTGCCATTATTCATATTTTTTCCTCTTGCAGATATACTCTATCTGAAATTTTTACCCTTATATATATATATATATATATATATATATATATATATACCAGTTTTGTTGAAAATAACAAGCATGTTTTGTTTATTATATTTGTTTTTGATTAATTTTTCTTGTTAACGGCTTATTATTTTCATATTAAAGTATAACGGAAAAGTCCTCAGTTCATGTTCGTTCTTTTAAAAATTACGAACTTTAGACTGACTTTAGTTATCACAAATGAAAGATATTAAATGAAACTCTAAATTTTATCGTTGAAATGATAAGGGATATAAGGTGTTAAGTTTTAAAGATGGCTGATTCTATTTTTTTTTATCTAATTCTCTCCATTAAACACCGTTTAACCTGAATCTTAAACATTTAGTTCTGATTTCATATATGTTTTTGGGTGCTTGTCGCTCGTGTTTCGTTTCCGTAATGAAACTTAAGGATAATTTCTTAAAAGTCTTAGAAGCTAATGATTCTAAATAATGCAAAAAGGAAGATAAAGTTTTGAAAATGAATGTTTGTCATAGATAGATGAGGGACAGAAAGATAAATTTAGTCTTCTAGTTCGTTATTAGCTCCAGTAAAAAAAAAAAAAGACGTGATGAAGTTAAAATACCACAATCTTACTTACAGCGATTGGAATGTAATAGCGTCTCCCGAATTTGACATACAGTCGATTCGGAGAATATACATACACAAGTACATACATACATGCATAAAGGATAAATTGAACATTTTAAAATTATTATAGTAAAACATGTGTGTGTGTGTGTGTGTGTGTGTGTGTTTTTTAAATCGCCATCACAACGAAATGAAGATTTTATCACAGTTAAAAAAAAAATGTTTGTCTTTGTAATTCACCCCGAGAATGATCTTGGAGGAGATCAAAAGTGCATTGTGTCGGAAAAAACTACGGCACCTTCTTCATGAATTTCATCTTAACAACAACAATCTGATTAGACAACAGGAAAGGATCAGTATAAACAAAATATGTCTATATTATTCAATGGAAGAGGATATGTTGCCTATATCTATCTATCTATCTATCTATCTATCTATCTATCTATCTATCTATCTATCTCAGTCTGTTCATATCTATCTATCTATCTATCTATCTATCTATCTATCTATCTATCTATCTATCAACAGTCTATTTATATCTATCTATCTAGCTATCAACAGTCTATTTATATCTATCTATCTATCTATCTATCTATCTATCTATCTAGCTATCAACAGTCTATTTATATCTATCTATCTATCTATCTATCTATCTATCTATCTATCGCAGTCTGTATATAAATATATATAAATGCAATTATTTATATATTATATATGCGCGATTCTTATTGGAAAGCGCCCAATATCAGTGATAGAGCTAACATCCAACTATATATATATATATATATATATATATATATATATATATATATATATATATATGACTGACAGTAGACTCAAAAAAATAAATTAAAAGAGCTCTTAGAGTCATTGAAAAAGAATGGAATCAAATTTAGACTTTGAGAAATATCTGCAACGAATGCCAAAAAATATGCTGCCGTATTCAATGCTAAAGGAGAATAGTTTGACGAGAGTAACGTTTAATCATAAAATGCTTTTGAACTGTCTTGTATATATATATATATATACATATATATATATATATGTATGTATAATAAAACAAAGAACAAATAGAAAACGTATATTAATCACTGCAAACGATTTAAAAGTGATGTATTATTTGTTCTTTATTTTATCATCCTGTCAGATTCCGATCCATATTTAGTCTACATTTGATCTTTAACTTATATATATATATATATATATATATATATATATATATATATATATATATATATATATATATATATATAGTGTGTGTGTGTGTGTGCAACAAAAAATTTAAAAAAAATTGTCCAATTGTTAAATTAAGCTCTGAACTGTTGTATCTTAGAAATGATTAAAGATATCTTATTGGAATTCACTGAGATTAAAATTATTCGACTCAACTTTGAGCAAATGGAATGTATAATTACTCTCCATGCTTAACAGCATCGTGATGAAATCGATCATGTTCATCATGAATTTATCATAGGTAAAGAAAGGAAGCCTATGAAGGATTGAAAAAAAGTTCAAATATATATATATATATATATATATATATATATATATAATTATTTATTCGAAAATTATAACATAAATATGTTATAAAATTACTACAAAAATAGCCATTTTGTTTTAACACTTCTGGTGTCTTGTCAAGTGATGGTGTTGAATGTAGAATAAAGAGCCTTATATTATATTTGTTCTACTCTGAATAGTATTTTTTGGTTATCGGAATTTATTCCGTATACTCCAATCTTATACTTATATATATATATATATATATATATATATATATATATATATATATATATATATATTAATTCCCAAGACGATAGAATCCAGGTAGAACTAAATGTCCAGGACTGACTAAGAATATAATATAAAAAAAAAAAACACTAATATTCCATAGTTATAATTTATTACATTGGAATCGTAATCACGATCCAATTCATCAGACCTACAAATTCAAAAAGAAATCGGAAAATATGACTCTGGGTATAAAAAAAATAAACAGTGAGAGTATATGTGTGGGAGTGGGAAACAAGTGTGAGAGGGAAATGTATGAAAGCTCTAGAGAGAGGGTGTAACAGAAGAAAGAAGAACAGGAAGGCCTAAA